CTCTCTCTTTCTTTCTTTCTTTCTTTCTTTCTTTCTCTTCTTTGTGCTCGTTTTGATACACACGTACTTCAACAGCAAAACTACGGATCATATAATATTTTTAATGGGTTTATGTGTTAAGTATTTAATGACTTTAGGTCTACACAGATGTAAATAGTATTTTTTTAAGCACAACTTTCACAAACAATTTATACAACAATTTTCAGTTGCAGTTCAATAGACAGTACATTAAACGTGGACTTTAATACATTAACGATCACAACACCTGTTTGTCTGCATTTCTTATGAAATTCATTACTAAATTACCATAATTTTGCAGAGAATATACTAAAATAATAAGCAAAATACAGTTTAAATCAATAATATATTAGACCTTTAAGCTCATTAAGAAAAAGGGTGTGCGATTGGGGCAAGCATTTTTGTCTAGATCACTTGGGAATAGTGTGTTATTCAATAACTTGTTTAATATTCAGCACTATTTCACTTTCAATACACAGAATTGTGACAATAATATGAAGAATTCAATGAATGAAAGCCCAGACAAAGCGATGGTTCGGTCGCCGCGCGATGTGTCGCTCAGTTTCGGCGGCCATCCGTCCAAAATGCCTGTCCCTCCGCCCAGACGTAAACGTAAAGCACTCATACTGTCCAGCATTAAGGTTTGTACACTTATCTTATGTGTATTGATCATGTAACTCAGCAATTAACCTAATCAAACTTTATATTACAAACTAATTTACAAATAATTTATTGACTAAATAATGTACGTATTATTTATATACTGTATCACCTTGATAGAATTTTATAAATTATAATTAATAACGTAAGTATAATATTAATATCGTATAACTTCAATAAGTCTTAAGATTTAATAAATAATATATAAGTTTTAAATCCCTCATAATATTCATATATAATGTTAAATCTCATTGAAATATCATTCAAAGTTAATATTTATTTATATTTTTATTTGACACTCATTTTATATACTGTACGCGTAATTATGTTGTGTTTAAAATATCGCAAGTATTTGAAAGTATTATAGATTAAACACGTGTTCAACTAATCGTAGGACACGTTTACGAGTACTGGAAATATGTTGCGCCGATTTGTCAGCTCCGAGCGACTCAGCGCTCCCACACATGCGACCAACACTGGCCTCATCGACAACACACGGCCTCTCATACAGACACCCATACAGACCATCCGACCCACACCTCCCACACACGTATCACAACTACACCAATACCAACAAAACCAGACACGAGTCGTGTTTCCCTCAAATATGACCTCAAATGCCAGCACTCATAATACATGGAGACAATCGCCGGCCACCGGCCTCTCTCAGCCCCAGACGTATGCATTTTCATCACGGAAACTATCGGAACCCCTGCCGGCGCCGCCACCGCCGCCCAGACCTCAGGCCACACGACAACCACTTTACCAAAACGAGAGCCAAAGAAAAGCGTCGCTACCGATGAATAGCCGGATGATAGGCGCCGGACGCTCGGCCTCTCTAAACAGGGTATCGACCAGTAGTGGTGACCTGTCGTCGTGTCCGCCGCCGTTGAGTCAGCGACAGGACGTACGGGTGGCCAATACGCTGGACGGACGGCGCAACTGTTCCCTCCATAATCTTCATGTCAATCGCTCCATAGATGACATCCCGCACATGGCTTATCCCCAGCAGCCCTTTCCTACCTGTGCTTACCATCACTATCATCCACATCACCCGTGGGCTCATCCCTGGGCCACCAGTTCTCTCAACAACTCCATCGAAGACATGAATCTAAACGCCGGCTATGATTATGACTCGGATGCCAGCGCTGGCGGACAATCGGCTGCCGGTCGACATCACCGGCAACGGGACGCCAGTATTAAGCGCTGTCTATCGGCCGCTCAAATGTATACACCGATGGGCGGCCAGTGCTCGCCTATACCGCCGCCAATGTGTTATCCCTATCCCTATTACCCACACCAGTGCGGTGTCGGTCCGATGGCGGGACCGCCGATGTCACCGCTGCCTCCCGGGGCGTCCACTCCCCTCTCGCACCGCTCGAAGTCGTTCAACTTTGGCAGCCCTGCGAGCGCTGACAACCAGTCGACCACCAGTTCCCACCACTCCAGAGGGTCGCGCGAAATGCCCGCTAAATCAAAGCCAACTCGAAGTAAACCAAGACATAGTTCCGGTGGCGGATCGGGTGGCGCTTTCGGTGGCGGTGCGGGTAGTGGCCAATCGGCGGGCGGAACCACTACCTCCTCGTCCAGACAACAGAGCGATTTCGACGACGAGCCCGAAGAGGAGAACTTCTATTCGGCGAGTGATAACGACAGCACCGGCGATGACGAGGACAGCGCCGGTGACGACCCCTCCAGTCCGGCGGGCAAGTGGTCGTGTCGGTCGGTATACCAGTGCTTAATGTATTGTTTGCAGAATTTAATCACTGTTTTAATTAACATTTTTTTTGTAGATTTTGTACGTTTATTAACGACAATAAGTGTGCGATTTGTGAGATGTGTAGCAAAACTCGTCACAAGAATTGCATTAAAAAGCCGTCAAATCGTAAGAATCGGCCGCAGAATAGGACGAGAAGATTGTCGTCGAATGGCAGCAAAGCCTCCAATAAAGACACGGAATTAGACTTTGACGAGAAGATAGTCAACGAACAGAAGGCCATTGAGAAAGAGCTGATCCGACGGCTGGAAAATGAACGCCGAATCGATCGCCAGAACGAGAAGATCAGTCGACGGGAAGAGTTTATCCGACGTAAGAGTTTGGGACTTCCCGTCAGCGAACAGTTGGCCGATCAGATCAGGGCTGACCAGACGTCCGCACCCGACGGCCACCACATTAACGATGACAATAACGATGTGAATAAAAGTGTTGGCAATACTGACGTGAATATTGATTTGAATAGCAATTCAATTGTAAAAAAATGTTTTTCAAGACATAACTCGACGGAATCGGAGAAAAATATTGTCGACACTAATAATAATAATAATAATTGCAATAATAATAAAACTATTGATCAAAATAGTGAACAATTACCTCAAAATGCAGATAAAAGTGTCACAAAAACAATCAATAATTTACAAAATATTCAAAATAATGAACAAAATATAAATAATAATAATTTTAATAACAATCAAAATACAACTGTCGATCAAAATACACAAAACACATTTAATCACAATAATAATAATCCCTATAATAATAATAATAATAATAAAGTGTTAATTACAATTCAAATGCCAATAATTTTAATAATAATAGTCATAATAATTACAATAATCAAAATATGAGTCAAACTTCTCGTTCATTAAATTCAGACACTAATTCATACAACAATCAAATGTCTTCACAACCCATACAACACATACCACAGCAAAACCCGATGACCGCCGGCGCCGCACAATACCCAAACACAGTATTCAATGATCGGCGGCCATCGTATCCGCCGGCCTATCAGCCGACCGGTTATCCATTTCCGGTACCGAATCCATTGTTACCACACAATCCGCTAATGAATCCAATGATGAACCCATTGATGAATGCGATGGCATCGCAAATGAATCCATTGCCGCAAATGTATGCCACGAATCCATTGCACAATATGTACGCTTTCAACAACGGTATGAATGGCTCGCAGACTAGTCTCGATCGGTTTGGTTACCCCGTGAGCACTGGTGGCTCATCCGTGGCCACCGATCAAAGCTATATTAACTCATTGTTGCCAAACATGTCATCGAGATATTCAAGTTGCGAGAATTTACAATCCATTAGCAGTTCGGTGACCAACAGATCCAATATGGAGTCAGGATTGCAGTTAATCCAGTTGTTGAGAGACGCGGACCGCAAGGGCTATACCGCCGATGACGTCGAAGTGGCCATCAATTTCAGTGCAGAAAAGCCGTTAGGTATTAAACTTATAAAATGGTTATTAATTAACAAAAGTACAGAATATTCTGTAATACTATTGCAATACATATACAGAATGGTTGGACGAGAATTGGCATAATATGTGCGAAACAGTTATGACGTTAACAAACAATCAGATAATGCAAAACGAGACAAAAAGCGGTAATAAACGGCTTATGGATTGGGATCTGTTGACAGAAGCGGAGGCAAAGGTGGCCCTCCGGGGGACCAAAGGTAACATTTGGCAGTCTATTGAGAAGTGCGTTAAAAACAAACAAAATACGGCCAAAACGGGCGGCACTGGCAATGGTGTGCCCGACGGCGACCACAAGACTTCGCTATCGCTAGAGATATCGGGTATGGGTTCGGGTAAAGACAATAACGACTCAAATGTGGTGAAAATTGTCGCACAATTGGACCAAATAAATGGTAACGTATTATACCTTTTGGTCTAATAATTAATTTTATAAATAATAACTAAAATAATTTATTTAACTAAAAGACAGTTCCGATGCGAAACCCGACCAATACATTGAGGAGAGAGTGATAACCGAAGAGTTGACCACAACTGTG